CTAAAGGGCTTTTTATAGGAATGCTAAGGGGGCAGAGCAAAAGACCTCCCCCTAGCACAGCCAAATGCAGACCCTTCCAATCACCTTGTAACCATGCACATGGTCAAGCCATCCTCTAATGCAGCTCTGCTAGGTAAAGCAAGCTCAGATCGCACTAGGAAACCTCTGTGAGCCTCCACACACACACCCAAAGCCATAGACTGTCTAACAGAAACCTCACTAGGCATGAGAACCCTTTTATTAAGTCATTAGTCAAGCTTGTCCAACAAACTCCCAAAATATTACAGGCTATTGCTCTTAGTTGGTCCCCAGAGTGAAAGGTAAATCTCTATTACTAAAGATACCGTGAACTGTGATTCCAGGACCCAGAGGACCTGAGATGGATCTGACCCAAAGGCCTCTTTGAAGGACTAGCTCCAAAAGGTGCCACATAAGCTTCAAAGGAGGGAAGCAACTGATTGTCCTACCTGGCTGTGATACATGTGAACCATAATGACAACCAGCATGGCACACTAACCCTAAGCATGCAAAAATGGCACATATACAACATCTCTCTAATTGGATGGAAGGCCCACTCAGTGGGAGATAAGCCACGCCTACTACAAGAAACCACAGTTAGTGAATTCACTCACTCATGGATCTTGGCAGAGAACCTACAACCACCACTTTACTAAAGCAGCATAATCCCTAAGCACACTCTAAATATTTGTCCTTATATCCACAGCTAAGTGTAGTTTTTACCCCTCATCAAAGAAATGTCTCTTTGCAATAGAGGGAAATCATCATTGAAAATCATAAGCAATCACAGTGCAGAGTTGTGAAGGCCCATCCCAGTGGATACATCTACAACAAAACTCCTGTACCTAAGGCTCGGGGATCATTGCAGAAGAGAGGGTGGGAAGACTGGAAAAGGCAGAGGAACAGGAAACTGGCCTTCAGATGGGATCTCCTAGAAATGTCAGAGAAGCTACACTCACAAAGTCTCACTGACATGGCTGCCTAGATATGACCTGAACAAAGACAACACCAAAATCCCATTAGGCCTCAACTATAGACAAAGACAACTGAAGAATACTGATAATGGGAGAACCATACCAAATGGTTATCCAATACCAAACAGTCAGCCTTGAAAACAAAAAGACAAGTAATGTTTTGACTCACCAGGTTATATTTATACTCAGAGGTTATAGTTACATATTTAAGTGTGTGTGTGTGTGTGTGTGTGTGTGTGTGTGTGTGTGTGTGTGAGAGAGAGAGAGAGAGAGAGAGAGAGAGAGAGAGAGAGAGAATTCAAATGGGAGTAATTGAGAGAGTAAAAGGGAAGGACTTGATGGAGTAAATGGAAAAAAAGAAAGTGATGTAATTATATTATAACCTCAAACAATAATTATGTTTTTAAAGAAAATAAATGCTGCCAGTTCTGGTCTAGTAAGAGGTTTGGGTTTCTCTCTGTGGTCTCGATCACACATATAAAGGTGTATATAAAATGTGTGTGGAGTTAGAGGGATGCTCAAATATCTGTCATACAGCTTCAGGGACAAAAACATCACAATGCATTAGAACCTCAGGTGCCATCTTCATCCTCCAGAAAAATAGCAGTTGTCCTGAAATTCATTCTAACCAGTCCTGGAATTTTCTTAGGATGAAAGGAAGCACATGTTGTTTTATGAAGTGCTGAGGCCATTTCACATGCCCAGCAGTGGTAGATGAGCTTTCCTGGAGGTCTCTGTGCTCATCAATACTTAATACTATTCTCATTTAGGGTTTTGACAGTTTCTTTGGTGGCCACTGCCATGTCAACTGACATCTGCTCCAAGCATTCTGGAGGCTAGTCCTTCACCAGTCACAGCTGCATAGATATCTTCTCCATGTTGGGGAAGTATTTTAGCACTGGTTTTATGAACTGCTTTGGCAAATAGATGTCTTAATCCTTCTTTAGGTTTTGTGTTATTTCATGCTAAAGAGATGGCATTCTGCCTAGAAGTCACAATGCCATTCCCTTATCCTATATATTATTATATTATAGGTTATATATAATTTTTGCATTGCATATTTTATACATGCCTTTGGGCTGTTTTGTTCTTGTTCCCTGGCCTTAATGAGTTCCTCATTCAACTATGTGCCTTTCTAAAACTTTAGATTGTCTTCTTGAGTTTTTTACCTCAAAGCTATTTGATGAAAACATCTTAGTCTAACATTATTTTCAAAGCTTTATTTCAGCTATTATGCACTCAAAACCTGTGAACACATCTCCCAACATTAAGGTTAAAAGAATTTAAGCCAGCTGGGCTACCAGGACTCAATTGTTTTTCTTAATCATTAACCTAAGCCACAGTCTATATGGCTCCTCAATAGAAACTCATGTGTTCTAGCTGTATGACACTTTCTTGTTTATAATTTTAATCATCAAAACTCTATTTAAACTAACATTATTATTATCATCAATTAGACAATACATCTTATGAAGGTTTCATCTTCATAATAATCCACAGGTAAAAATGCGCACGCAGTAGGACGGGATGCTTCCATGAGATAAACACACTACATTACAGGCAGTGGGGATCTCCCCACACCCATTCACACCATGCCAGATACCAGAGAAAGATGGCAGCAGCAAACAAGTAAAGGCACAGCAGAAGCAAAAGACATTCTGGAGTCTGTGGTCTCAGGGCCTTGCCTCTCCAAGATTCACCCATCAGAGATCCGTCTCTTGGTGGACTGACACCCCGGCTCCTCTGACACTGCCACCAGCACACTGCAGTGACCAAGTTCCCCAGATGTGTTCCTTCACTCTCTTCCATCACTGTTCAACACAACCCTTCCTAAATTCAGGCTACACTGCATAGCTGTCTTAAGAATGATATGTTTGATATCTAAGGGAGCAATTCCCCTACTGTTTGCCATTATTAGTGTTTTCTTTTTATTAACCTAACAATTCTACATAAGACCACATAAAATTTTAGATCTAGTTTTACTTTTATTTATGTACATGACTGTGTGTGGGTGTGTGAGGGGTCAGTCTCTGTTCAGACGGTGCCACGAAAAGACAGGGAACATGAGAAGCGCCAACCCCTTCTGCAGCTGTTTGAGCAGACAGACCTGAGTGTCTGGAACACGAGATGACGAACTCATAACGGAGTCCCACCTAACTGGAGACCCTCTAACTTGGTACCAAAGCCCAGGGCATTGCCTGCTTCTTGCCCTTTGTCTGCAGACACACTGCCTGGCATACTGCACCTGCCCCCTGTGCACCCTCACATAAGGCAGGTTGCATGCCATTCGGACTCATTGGGCAGTAACTTAATATGACCTTGTCTGATTGGGTAATGAATGTATATTTGCCAGTGAGCATACACATCAAACCAGATCCGCACCTTGGCATCTGCATTCCTGGAAACTCCTAGAAACTCTGTCTCCCTCACCCCTCCCCCACTGAGCGACAGGTAAGAGAAAGAAAAACCCCACAGGTGTGTGCTTGTGAATGCAGGTGCCTGTAAAGGCCAAAAGAGGGGGGTCAGCTCCCTTAGAGCTGGAATTACAGGAGTTGTGAACCATCTGAAGCAGGTGCTGGGAACCAAACTCAGAGTAGGATACAAAAGTAGTATACACTCTGAACCACCGAGGCAATTTTCCAGCACTTATACTGGAATTTTTGATAAAACCTTATTGACTGATTCATTTATCTATATCAGTTAAGCACAGAAACCAAATAAGTGCATAACCTCATAAATAATCATCTAGTAAGTGTCCTGGTTTTGTTCCTATTGCTGTGGTAAACAGATAAACACCAGGACCAAACTCAATGTGAGGAGCAAGGAATGTCTTTGGCTTACACTTCCACATGCAGTCCATCGCTGAGGGCAGCCTGGGCAGAAACTACAGTGGGAACCTGGAGACAGAAGCCAAGACAATGAAAACGAACGCTGTGGCTGGCTCTCCATGGCTTGTTCTCCATAACCCAGGACCACCTGCCCCCAGTGGTCACCTTCAATGGTCTTGTCCCTCCCACATTGATCACTAATCAAGAGAATAGGCCAATCTGATGGAGACAGTCTCTCACTTAGGTTCCCTCTTCGCAACTCTAGCTTGTGTCAAATTGACAAAAAACAAACAAAAAAACAAAAACCACCAGCACAGTAAGGAAGAACTCTTTCTCTCTCCACTCCCACCCTGTCTCTCTCTTCTCCCTACCCCATGTCTCCTCCCCAGATGTCCCATGCAGTGGCCACTTTCCTCACCATAGCCTCCCAGCTGTGATGATTTTCTTCACTATAGCCCAGGAACAATGGAGCCAGGCAACTAGGGACTGAGCTCTCTAATTACTCCAAAGGAATCTTTCTTCCTTTCCCATTTTTGTCCTCGGGTGTTCTGTCACAGCAACGGAAAGCTGTCCTGTACACACGGTGCCCCTCCCTTTTATGTTTTCTGTGTGAGGCAAGGTCTGTGTGTGCTCAGCAAGGGAGTTGGGGGGCAGGGTGGGCTTGTGAACGTTTATGGCATTCTCTTCTCACACTCCCTAGTCTTCATGAGTTCTCCATGGTGTCTATCTCCGAGAGTCCTCTCTTCTTGGCCCCTTGCTAGGAATTTCAGATTTTGTCCTTATTATTTCACATGCTCATGCGGCTAGGCTCCCTTCTGGGGCAAAGAAGCAAGAGAAAAGAAAGTGATACCAAGTTACTCCCCACACTTCAGGATGATGGGTTCCTTTCCCCCATTCTCCTGCTGGAGAGAAAGCCTTTTCTTCCACAGTCTACAGATTCAGCTGAACAGGAATGCAGCCATCTTGAGTCATAGGCACCATGCCTGTCCCAGAGTGACCCTGATCATTGGCCCTGACTGCTTTCCTAGCTCGCTATAAATAGACAAAAGCATTAGTGTGGCATGTGGAGCTTTAGAACTGGACCCTGGTGCCAGGAATGTGCCCGATTCTTTGATATTAGCTTACAATAAACCAGGCACCATATGGCTTGGATGAAGTCGCTTTTGTTCTGACTGATATGCGTGCCCTCCTTGTGACCCAGTAGCAGGGATCTACTTAGTCTTTCTGCTCCCTGGGCCATAATACTTCCACCAGAGGCTTTCCCTGCATACTGCAGGCCGGGCTGTCCTGGGACTGACACATCTTTGGAGGCTGGTTCTTTCACAGTGGGATCTGGCCCCGGTCATTTCAGAACACCTAGAGTTTCAGTGAGTCCTATGTGTGTGGGGGGGAGGGGGAGGAGAGACTCTACCCCTGCATCCTTAGTGCCCCGCCCTCCATGAATCACTAGAAGAATGGAATTTCTCCCAGAACTCCCCCTGCCTGTGGATGCTGCCTGAGATTCACTTCCTGAGATTGGCCAAGAAGCTGTGGGTAGAAAGCAATGGAAAAGCCTCCAGTGCGGTCATCCTTTCCCCCATTCCTTCCACCATCCACCTGCTTTACACAGAGAAAAGAAAGCCGGCCAACTCCCGCGGAAACCAGAAGCCGGTTTCCTCCACTTAAAACTGCATTGCTTTAGATGTCTCTTAAACCGTGTGGTGCTCCACCCTTTTCCTTTCCTTTCCTTTTATTCTGAAAGCACTTTGGCCTTTGGCCTGTAATGTATTCCCCACAGTCTAGACTTTGTGCGTAAAGTCTCAGATTGGATTCCTTTTGCAAGACTGTCAGCTGTGGTGTATCCTTCCAGTGAATGACATTGTGTCCTTCCAATGAGTGACAAACACTGTTGTGAGTTTTTCTGTAATCTTCATGGGCAATGACTTAGGGTTTTTACTGCTGTGATGAAATACCACAACCAAAAGCAGGTTTGGGAGGAAATGGTTTATTTGGCTTATACCTCTATCACTGAAGGAAGTCAGGACAGGACACTCAAGCAGGGGAGGAACCTGGGGGCAGGAGCTGATGCAAAGGCCATGGAGGAGTGTAAATTACTGACTGCCTTCTTACAGCACCCAGGACTACCACAGTATATTGGGCACTCCCACATGAATTGCTAATTAAGAAAGTGATCTATAGGCTTGCCTACAGCTGACCTTTTGGAGGCAATTTGTCAATTGAGGTTCCTTCCTCTCAGATGACTCTAGCTCTATTGAGGTGACATAAAGCTAGCCAGCACAAAGATTATAGTAAGCCTTAACTTCATTAATTTATTAGTGAATTCAAAACGACAGTATTAAACTATACAACTTTTTTAAGTATATGTATGTTCACTCTCACGCATGCATGCGTGCACATGTGCGCATGTACTATGTGTGTGCAGTACCCATGGAGGCCAGAAGAAAACATTGCATCCCATGGAGCTGAAGCTACAGGTTGGGAGCTGTCTGGAGTGGAGGATGGGGGGAAAACCTGGTGTTCTCTAAAATAGCAATGAGTGCTCTTAACTGCTGAGCCATCTCTCTAACCCCTTCATAACTTCTTTCTTTATTAATTTATTATTAATTTGGAATCATTTTTAGAGGAGGCATGCCCTGCATGTTAGTTACTCATCCCATTTCTGTGACAAAGGCAACTTAGGGAAGTAAGGGTTCGTTTTGGTTAACAGTCCCCCCTGGCAGGGATGACATGGTGGGAGACGCAGGAGACAGCTGGTTACAATGGTCCACCATCAGGAAGCAGAGAACAGTCAATGATAATCATCTGGCTTCCTCCTTTTTAGTAAGTCTTCGGACCCCAGCTCATGGGTTGGCAGCACATTTAGGATGAATCTTCTTACCTCCACTAACCTAGTCTAGAAACTCCCTCAGAGACACCAGGTAATGTGTTTCTATGGTGACTCCAGATCCCATCAAGTTGACAATCATGGTTAGCAATCACCTCCTCCACCTACTATTTGGTTAGTCTGTGGTATGGTTTTTTTCCCACGGATGAGTCAATTTAAGTTCTCAGTACTTTGTCCCTTGCAATTATTTTCACTGAAGCTCAAATAGCTTCATATTTTCTCAAAAGGAGTTTCTTGAGTTGGCTCCCAAATCCTTTCGACATGAGCGCTGTAGTCTTTGAGACTGACCTCGCTATCTGATAGCCAGCAGGACAGAATGTTCTGGACACACCTGGTGCACCTCCTATTCCAGACTCAAAACCAGCCGTTTTCCCAAGAAACCTTGCTATTCTTCCGTGGGGAATCCAGTGCTGTTTAAATACCATCACCTAGCTGCTAGGGTGTTGATTGCAAGGCTGGTCATTGTTTTTAGGGCATTTGAATAGGTAGAGCTATGATAAGTATTACATAGAATTACATATACATTTAAAATACCTAACAAGTTCATATAGACTTCACTTTGAGGTCACCAAATCTCACACAAACTTTTCACATCTTCTTCCTTCCACACCAAGAATCCTAGCTCTTAAATACAATGGAGTTGACAGCATAAACCAGTAAACCATAATTATTTGTTCTAACCACATGGTATGTATAACAGTCTCAGAAAAGGAGGCTAAATAAAGATATCGCCACCTTGCTGAAAACATTACTTAAAACTTTTCTAAAATTACTGAAAACATTTTTACTTACTGAAAATATTTTTTAAATATTCACATGCTCACTCTTGTTTGAAGAGCAGTCTAGTGCTTACCGCATCAGAGCCCATGTCCATTACACACTACCCTCGCTTCCTCTCGAATCGCATTTACTTTTGGTTGTTGTTGTTAATCTGTTTCTTTTTTGAATTAGGTTTGCCAAGATTTATTTTATTTTTCATTATGTGTATGTGTGAGTCTGGGTCGGGGGGAGTGGGTCGGGCAGTGCACATGAGTGCAGATGCTGAGAGGGCCAGAAGAAGGTGTTGGATTCCCTGGAGCTGAAATTACAGGCAGCTGTGAGCTGTCCAGTGTAGATGCTGGGAACTAAACTCCGATCCTCTGCAAGAGCAGTATACACACTTAACCAGCTCTCTCTTAGCTCCTTAAGTCCATTGTTTCTTAATTAGCCTATAAACGTAAGGAGTTTGCTTATGGTATTTTCAGACACACATCTTGTTTGTGCTCTGCTCACCCTTCCCGGGTCCCCGCCCTCTGGTCCCCTTCTTACCCAACAGCCCCCTTTCACTTTCCTGTCATGTGACTTCCACTGCCCTCTCATGATCTTCTTTCTTTAAACCTTATCTACTTTTAATTCTAAAACAATGATCAGTGTTAGCCAACTCTTTTCATGTCAACTTGTGGGCAAACAGTCTGGTTATTTGACCATCATTCTGCAGCTGATTCCCGAGGAAGAATGAGTGGACAGGATTTCCCTACCTCCTGCACGGTTACTAGATTGTTCTAAGTCTGCTTGAAAGTTAGTTTAGCTGGATATAAAGTCAATACCTCACACTTTCCTTTATTTGAAAAAAAAAAAAAGGTCATTTATTGTGAAAGTCTTACTATGGTATAATAGTCAAATTTTTCCCTTATAAATTGTATATCTTTTAACTATGTGTACAAAAGATTTCTTTCTTTTTTTAATCTAGCAGTTTTGGTAGAGTGTCTCAATATTGATCAATCTAGGCTGATATTCTAAGGTATGTAGTGCAGTTTTTTAATGTATCTTTTCAAAATAGTTTTTTATTGTACTTCAAATGAGTTATTTTGAATGCTAGGGCTTTGGGGGATTAATCAAATAGTACATGTAAAGTGGCTAACACACTGACTTACATAATTAGCACCTATTTAATGTTTGGCATAAGTTAAATATCAAAATTCTCCTCCACCTGAAGAGGTGAAGAACAATTTCAGGCTAAGATTTCCATTGTTCGGTGGACAGAAGAATCCAGTCATGGCGAGCTTGTGTTTACCACTGGCTGTCAGGAGCTGAAGTTCCCCTGTTACGCACCAGTGGAGGAACTGCCAAGGTGTGCTGCTGGCTTGGGTTCTTCAACTTTGGAAGCAGAATGTATCTGTAAGTTCATGTCCTAGACTACACTTAGAATCCCAAATAAGATAGGTAAAACATACTGCCTTCTTACTCCATGTGGGACTGGACTCTAGAGGTGCAGCTGGGAACTGGAATTGATTGTGTCTGTAAGAAGCACTGTGCTCTTTATCTTCCTCATTATACCTCTTTTAGAACACTGACCAAAAGTCGCAGATCTTCCCTTGACCTTGCCAAGGAGACCTCAAAGAGCAGGTGCATTCTGGGATATGAACCTGAAGGCTCCTCACCTCCATCCATAGCAAAATTCTCAGCATTCTCCCAGATGCCATCACGGTTTTAGGCACACACTAGAAAAGCGCTATGTTGGTGGTCCCTGTTTCTCCAGCCTGTCTTGGAAATGAGCCATGCGGTCTGTTCCAAACACTTTCCCTTTGGCTCCTCGTTGCCAAACTGATAGTCCTTTCCATTGGTGCTTGACTTTGCAATAAAATGCAGGCTGTTAACTGGGGCTGTATTAACTCTGGAGGGATCCATGCCACAGACACCAGCAGGGTTTGCCTGGCTTTCCACGCTTCCCTTTGGTTCTGGGCAGCTGCTCCAACCCAGCACAAAGAGCCCTCTTGAGCTTCCCCTGACAGATTGGGTGGGTGCTCAGGAGGGTGCTCAGCATTCCAGAGTCAAGGAACATTGTTGGCAGTCGCCTTCCAGGGTTTATTCACAAGAGTGGGAATGTCTCTTTCTGTAGAGGGTCACTGACCGTCATACAAAATGATTGAATACCTCAAAAAACCAAATACATATCATATAATTTATATGTATTATAAATATCCCAGCCACATTGCATATTAAAATTGTTAACAGAAAAACATGTTAGAGATGAACAAGTAACAGAACAGAACACCAGATCTCATTTTGTGAGGCTCTTTGAAAGATAGATTGGAGAAAGAGGGAAAGAAAGAAAATCCTGTTAAAAAGAAACAAAAACAGGCCGCCGCTCCCTAATGCCAGCGCTGCCTCTCGCTTGCAGAGCTTCAGCCGAAGGAGAAGTGGGGGTAAGTAAGGAGGTGCCCATTCCATGGCTCGTACAAAGCAGACTGCCTGCAAATCCACCGGTGGTAAAGCACCCAGGAAACAACTGGCTACTAAAGCCGCTCGCAAGAGTGCGCCCTCTACTGCAGGGGTAAAGAAACCTCACCGTTACAGGCCTGGTACTGTGGCACTCCGTGAAATCAGACATTATCAGAAGTCCACTGAACTTCTGATTCGCAAGCTCCCCTTCCAGCGTCTGGTGCGAGAAATTGCTCAGGACTTCAAAACAGATCTGCGCTTCCAGAGTGCAGCTATTGGTGC